CTTTTTTAAAAGGCGGAGGGACGTGGGAAAAATTGTTATAAAGCGTGCTTATCACGCTGAAATTGGTACGTCTGGTCACCCTACCTTAGCTGGTAGAAGTCTGCAGTTTTTCCGACATGCAGATCAAGGTTATCCCAAAGGTGCTTTTTCAGGAGGCAACTGGATTTTCTGGTTTTTCTCTAAAATGATGCAAATGACCCAAGGAATATAAACCCTTCCATTCCCCACCATCCAGTCAGAGTTTGAAGAAGCTTCTTGGATGAGAAGCAAAACATCTTCCAGAGGAAAAAAATACAAAGTCCAGTTGCCTCCTGAAAAAGCACTTTTGGGACCTCAGCTGGTAGCTTTATGTAATAAGTGTTAGTACAAAGACAGTTGAGCCCTCAAGTACCCTGAAATGCTGGGTTCTAGAGCTGGACCTTCTCCCACAAAATCACACCCCCACATTCTTGACTGCCTAAGATAGTCCAGGTTACAAGTCATGGTCTTGAAAGACCCAGAAAGTAGTCTGGCCTACAGACAAGGAGATGTGTGGCCCCAGACCAATGCTATCTAGTTTAGTGCACGTAAATTGGTGTGCATCATATAATACGCAAAATATAGTGCATATAATTTCTCCCTCCTTTAAAATTTAGGTGACCTTCACTTTGTTGGATCAAGTCAACAACTGTCACATTTCCACCGTCTTCCGTTCCTTGGAGTCCTCGTGTTCATTCCAGCGGCCCATCAACGAAACCAACGTGGCCAGCGGCGTCCCTGAATTCTACCCCTTGAACTCACTCCACGAACCAGGTGCTGGCTACCTTCATAATGACATGTTAGCCATTCAGGCTGTGATTGACACAAAGGCTTAAACTAATGTGCGACCTTCATCTCAGATGTGAAGACCAAACTACCAACCCCAATGATGGGATGCTCCAGAATGTCTGTCAAAAGAAAGAGGACACCGCTGCACTTAGGCGACAATTGAGGAAACTCTGTGGATCTTACTCAACCCCTTCTCTATTACCCATACAATAGCCCAGAGAGGTTGAAGGACTCCCTAAAGTCTGTGTTCCTAATGTAAATTTGAATCCATTAATTTATTTTAAGATCTGCATACCACAACCAGATCAGAGGCGAGATTCAAAAAAAATTTACCACCGGTTCTGTGGGCGTGGCTTTGTGGGCATGGCAGGGGAAGGATACTGCAAAATCCCCATTCCCTCCCCACCCCACTAACCTGCTTTCCAGCTCCGTTNGCCACATGACCACGGAGACGTCTTCGGACAGTGCTGGCTCTTCAGTTTTGAAACGAAGATGACCAGCGCCCCCTAGAGTCATCCCAATCAGGTGCAAAAGTCCACATCCACTCTGCCTTGCTAGAATTAGATTTACATCCAGACCTCCACAACTCTAAGCAGGGTGGATAAAAATCGGTGATTTAAAAAAAAAAAAAATTAAAAAAAAACTTTTTAAAAAATTTAAATCAGATTTGTTAAAATCCCAATTTATTTTAACAAAATGTTTTTGGAGTGAAAAAAAATCTATCTAAAGATAGTTTTCTACTTAAGATACGTTAATAATTTAGTTTATTCAGCATGAAATGGAGCTTGGTTATGGAGCATGAGGCTGTATATTCTGCAATATTTACATTTTTTGGTAAACTCATCCAAAGAATCTAAGCTCTGCAAGCTGAGATAACCACGAAATAAATCATAAAACAAAGTTCAGGAATATTCCTTTATCCCATTGTTTCGCAAATCTATGTACACCACAAACTGTACGGCTGTTTGAAGAGAAATGCCTCTGTACCACCAAACTTAAGTGTGAAGAGGAAGGGCAAACAGTAAAAATGAAAGTGAAACCTTCTAAGCAGCTTATGAATGTAATTTTAAAGAGCACCCGTCATTTCAGATTCATCATGGAAGCACCTGCTATCGGGCATCCACTCACCTGCTGCCTACCACATCCCTCGCCTTATATTGTGTCGGTGCTGCATCACCAGCCGTCCAGTAAAATAAATTGCTTCTGCGCAAAATGGCGGCATCTATGGCACAGCAGATAAATCCGGTTCGGGGAAGAGATGGGGTGCCCAGCCAAGTTACTACCTACTCGGCCAAACCAGTCCAAACCAGTAGGAACCCACCTCTGCAGCTGCCCCATTAAAATGAATGAGACTGCGGGACAGAGATGACAGTTGCTCTTTAAAAATTATGATTTAAATCGAGTTGATTTAAATCAAGCCTTTTTCCTAGTGATTTAAATCAGCCCTGACACAAATCCACCCTGGCTCTAAATCAGTGTTTCTCAACCTTGGCAACTTGAAGATGTCCGGACTTCAACTTCCAGAATTCCCCAGCCAGCGAATGCTGGCTGGGGAATTCT